TCGTTCTCGATTGTGAGTCTTTAAATATTGTTTTACTTCAATATTTTAACGAAACAAACGTTTCAAAACATTTCAATATAATTTTGCAAGCCAATCCAAATAAATGGTTTTTTAAATAAACTTTACGAGTATATTGATATATGAATTATGTTAACAATTCCGCTTACGTCAGCTGGAGCAGAGAGAACATTCTCAAAATTAAAACTTATTAAAACATATTTACAAAGTACTAATGCTTGAATTGAGAGAGAGGGTGCGTAGGGTGACGGAGGTCCTCTAATATTTTTATTTTTATTTTTTTTTTTGTTTGCGTACCCCAACTATATTTTTCACTGGAATGGGGGCCACTTTCACCCTAACTAATGTTCAAAATAGTTTTTAGTAATATGTGGATTTAAATTTACGTCAGTTTTATAACGAATATTATGATTTATAATATCAAAACTATTTTTAAAATTCGTTTATTAACATATTGAGCTCCATTAGTATTATCACTTGCCAGTGCGAAGCCTATGTAAACGGAAATTACGTTCGATCGACTAGTGACTACCCAGCATGAATATAAATAACCACAGACATATAAAAATATTTATATTTTTTTACGTCTATGGATAGAACCGTACTTTGCAGATCGCAGTACACGTCAACCTGGCAACCCTCGCTTAGCAACATACAAAATATATAATTGGTTGAAAATTAATTCGAATGCGCAGTAAATATAATTAAATTTACGCTTATTACCTATATAGGGACATGAGAAAACATATTTTTATAGTTAAAGATTATATAGTGGTAATGATAAGCAACGGCGTTGTCATTTCAGCAAATCTATAAATAGTTATGTCTGTCTGGTATATATATATATATATATATATAAATGAATCGGTCATTTCAAAAAGGCCATTTCTCCACATATTTTCAAAACTAGTTTTATATTCCAGATGGTTTTAACTAATAATAATACATATTTCCTGCGATTCCGCCATAGTTGGTTTTATATAAGAGAGTTAAATAATTTAACAATTTTTCAATTTTCGTCTAAATTTAATTTTGTTCTCTAAAAACAGTTTTTCACGTTTCTTGACAAGTTTTATTTCATAGAGATATGGCCTTTTCGAAATGACCGATTCAATTTGGTATATATTTTATTCATTGTATGCTTTGTTATTAATGTTATCGATATTAATATTTGTAATTTAAATATATATGTAGATGGAAAGTAGTATTTAAAAGATATGTAAGGTTGGTGACGGGAAGGGTATGGGGACGAGGCCATCTATGGGTCTGTATGTAATAATTAAATAAAACACAATTTTTAAATCGTTGGACTAAGCTCCTTCGCTTAATTTTTCCTAATTCGATCACAGTGAAGTACCATGTCATAACAATAACTTATAGGACTTGATATAATTTGTATAGAAAAAAACTTTCAGAACAACTAAATCATGAAGACATAATAAATGATTTTGTATCCAAAAAAGCTAGAAAAATTAAAAAATTATAATGGACAATATTTTATTTTAATAATGTATTATGTTTGTAAAATATAAATTTTTCAGCACACTAATTTTTTTAAAATTCCTTTATGAATTAAAATTATTCTTACCTATTATTATACATTTAATTAATAAAAGTAATTATTAATAATATTTTTATTTTGATATTTTATAATAATGATTAAGATGAAGAAGTTATTTTCTATGCAAATAATATGATAATACATTTATCATTGATTGTTTTATTTTATTTACTTATCTAATGTACAATAATTGTTTGTTTTAAAATCAATGGACAAAATTACCTTTTGAATTAAATCTCTAGTTAATTTAGAATGTGAATGTAATGTATAAGATAGGAATGAGGACCCCACATTTTTACATTTTTAAATGCCCCGAGCTCCACAAAACCTTGCTCCTGCACTGATTACACCAATTAATCGAAGCTATAGGCTATATCAAAGTAGTTACAGTTAAATAAATTATAATCCCCATAGTTTTATTTATAGTAACGGGAAAGAAACAATTAAGCTCGTATGATAGTTATCACAAGGAAGAAATGAACAATCTGATTGATTAACTAATACATACGTTAAATTAGATACAATTAAATCTGAAATTGAGCCATCATTATCTACAATGTTATGAAACTGAAAAATATTTAAATAAAAGAGTTTTGACGAAAATTCCGACTAGGTTAAACTTAAATTGAATAGACTGGGGTAGAAACCTAGAGAGCTAGGGAGCCAATGACATTTTGGAAGATTGTAATCACCAATCATAATTATTTTTGTTACATATGATACACTAGAAAATAAATTACTAATTGTATCAAAATAAATATTAAAATTAGCGATATCAAAAGGTGAAAAACAAACGTTACTTATTAGTATATGGATAATACTCGTAATATTTTTAATTATATATATATTAATACAAATAAATTCTCCACATGACTCGCGGGTATAGATAACATACGAGAATAATATTTATTGTTTAAATATATTAAAACACCACCGCCTCTAGAACAGTTACTTGTATTTGAATTACGATCATAGCAATAAGTATTTGAGTTATTAAAACCTAATTCCGATGTAATAACATTTGGTGTTAGTCAAGTTTCAGAAATACCAATAATGTCATATTCAGATAAACAAACATTGCGCATACCTTAACCGGAGTATAGTACAAATAATATTTTTATGTGAACTATTATCACATACCAAAAATAATCTAGCTTAAAAATTCAACATCATGTGTACGCTACGAATACTGAATATCAAAAACTACATTGTTCGCCATTATAAAAAATTTAATAATAACGATTATTATTCAGTTTATTGAAATTTGGTGTTACACAATAAAGTGTATGTGAACTGAAATTAATAATAATGTTCCTTAACTTATTTAATTATAATTTCTTAGAAAAATGCTTCGATTCTATAACGTTACGGGGTAATACATTGACACGTAACCTATATTAAACATTTTGAAGTTTTGAAAACCATAATACCGTATGGGAAAGCTCGTTTGGCAGCATTTATAGTTCAACTACACATTAATTGATGTCTGAACGCATATAAGTTAACTAGGGATACTTAATAAAATAAAATCGTTGAATTTGTTGAAAACTAGTGTCTTTGTTTTCACTTTGCGGTAGAGAAATATTAAGGTAATTAAATAGGTCAGACATTATATTTTTTGTATAATATGTGAGTTGAACAGTGAAACATTTCAAAATTGAGTTTTGTTTTTATTTTAAAGAATTCAGGCACATAAGCGAACTATTTAATATACAATTAATGATAATATTAATATTAATTCTATCAACAAAATAAAATGAAATTTTTTTTTTTTTCGTAAGGCAGATAAAAATTCCTTCTATTCAGTTACCATATATTACTGTACATATTCAAGAGGCATATTTAATATGTGTAAAACAATCTAAATTCTTAGAAACAAAATTAAAATGTTAATCTACGAAACAAAAAAAAAACACTTCGGTATACTTTAATTTAAATAAACAATAATAATATTGATGTTGATGTTAATATGATGAATCGATCTTGAACGATTTATTTTATAAATATGCATTGATAACTAATTAAATTTTCAAGAGTAAGTACAAATACTGTATTTTAATAACAAAATGTAAAATGATTCAATTTCAATATTTATTAGTTATTTTTGAATTTGAATATTTATAAGTTATAACTTATTCCGTATAACGTTATTAAGTAATTAACAAGAAATATAAATTAAACATTTAATGAATATACTAACTAGTAATAGCAAATTGCCTTTAATGATTTTAAGATTTAATGACCACAAAAAAGAACAAATTGAAATATTTTACATGACCAATCTATAATCATCCAAAAAGTTATTAAAATAAAAAATAGTTAATATTTTTTCACTTTTAAAATTACAATAACTATTTCATAAAATTAAATAATTTTTATTATAATATTATTATAATACTAAAAACTATAAATATTCACTTGCAAAATATTACTGTAATAATATATATTATATATATATATAATATAATATTTTTATTTATTTTATTATTTGTAACTAAGAAACAAGTAATTTTTAAATGTAAATTATTAAAAAAATTAAAAGTAAAATAAATATGATCAGAATTTTGAGATCAAATATTAGTTATAAATTATTTTTATTTTTTAATATTTTATGATTAAAAAAATATAAGTTTATTGATTATATATGTAAAACTTCAAATAATTCAAATACATTTCTTTTGAAAGTCAATAAAGGTAAACACATGACATTAAGTTGTGAAAAATTATTTTTATGTCAATATTCGAGACTTTCCTGTATCAATAAGCAATATCATAATAATTTATTGACAAAAACCATGAAACACGATTCTCATTTAAAATACATTGAGTGGTAAATAAGCAAAAACATTTTCAAACATAACTCTATTTTATGAATACCGTTGACGATATCACAAAACTGGAAAAGCTATAAAATAAACCCTTTTATCAAAATTTTTAGTTTTAGAATTTAATAAAATGTAATATGAAACCAATGGATGATTAATAATAAAGTGTTGGATATTAACAAAAATACAAACTTAATTTGTTATTTTATTGTATTATAAATATTAAAAACTCCCTGAAAAAAAAAAATTTAATTTTACTTTACTGTCGGATTTGTTATAAGAACGGGTAAATCATATTTCTGCATTGGTTCAGAAACTAATGAACCATTTCTCTCAAAAAATAATTCTCACTGATGGATCAAAATAGGTAAATAGATCGAAGTGGTTAAATTTTGTTAGTTTTTTTTTTTAATTTCATTTATGTTTTGCAATCATTTATAAAAACTATTGAGCTTTCATAAAGCCCTGCCCTTATAATACCAAATAGACAATATTTCCGATAAGAAATCTTTATTAATTGTGATGATCTGATACGATCGCAATTGCGTTTCTGTATTCCTTGCTATCGAGTACGTCCCAAAGTCGTCCAACCAGTAATGGGAAACCTGCCAAAGTACCGATTGCAGCAGATCAAGCCATTTCATCAAATAGGTATAGATTATGCAGGCCCAATTAGTTTAAAGGAACGTCGATCTCGTAACTCTCAGATCAAGCAGGCATATATTTGCTTATTTGTGTGTATGAGTACAAGGGCTCTGCATATTGAGGTTGCGTCCGATTTAACAACCGAAACGTTCCTTATGGTATTCACCCGTTTCGCTGCTCGCCGAGGAACAATCCAGGCAATATACAGTGATTGTGGTACCAATTTTGTGGGAGCATCTCGACTGTTCAAATCAGTTGATGAATATCAAAACGCTATAATCAATCATCTTGCCACACATCATATTCAATGGCACTTCAATCCACCATCAGCTCCACACTTCGGAGGTTTATGGGAAGCAGGTGTCAAATCCGTAAAACAACTGTTATACCAATCCATAGGAAACCACCGATTGACCAGCGAAGAATTAAGTACGTATCTAACGCGAATCGAGGCAACTCTAAATTCCAGACCGTTGGGTGCGATGAGCAACGATCCCGCGGATTTCAACGTACTAACGCCTAACCATTTTTTGACCCTGAAACCCAGTACTACTATCCCAGATCCAGATCTGTCAACTCTTCCACTATCTAAGATGCAGCGCTGGCGGCTCATCCGAGATATCCATCAACATTTCTGGAGTAAGTGGAAAAATGACTTTATTAATACTTTACAACAACGCTTAAAATGGACAAAGTCCAATGGAACCTTGCATCAAGATGATCTAGTTCTCATCAAGGAACCAACCAACTCACTTCAATGGAGACTTGGTCGAGTCATGCAACTTCACCCAAGAACCGATGGAATAAACCGTGTTGCTACTGTCAAAACCGCTATTTGATCATTAAAACGTCCCACCAACAAGCTCTGTCCACATCCACAACTTTAAAGGCGGATGCCTTTAAGGTGGGCAGTATGTTTATGCAATAATTACGTAACATGTGCGGACGCTCGGTATCTTATTAAGATTACTATTCATATTATTATTATTATTTAAATGAGATATCGAGTTTGTTCGCGCATGTTACGTAGTTAATTAATGTATTATTTTTATTTTTAATTGTCACCGAATTTCGGATTGTCGTCACCAGGCTAAATCTATCGTGCCAACGGATGCCGTTATCGGTGCACCTACCTATAAAAGGCGCGGTGGCGTGATGGAAAGTCACCATTTACTGTCTCTCCGGTGTTATAGTAAGACCTTCCCAGGCAGACTTACACAACATTGGAAGACAGTATCCCCCCCCGACCTCGACGAACGATATATTTATGTTGGTCAGTGGTGTAATAGTCGGAGTTATTCTGGCATTGCATCGATCAGCATAACCATCGGTTTATGGGGCAATAGTCAGAGTAATGCCGGCATTACACCGACTGAAGTATCGTTCGTTTGAGGTCTTTATTCCCGTCGACGCGACCTATTCGTTATTCGTATAAGCTCTCCGAGTACAAATATATTATTCGTGTCATTAAAGCTCTCCGAGCACAATTCTTATAATAAAAAAAAAACACACAATTTTCTTAATCATTAGTGTTTCTTCTTTTTTTTGTGCGTTTTTCCGAACGTTACACGTAATATTGAAATGTTCATAAAATTTTTTTTTTAAATTTCCATTTCAAAACTTTTTGATACCAAAATTATTTTATTGACATTTTACAAAAAAAAGGAAAAAATAACATTTCAAATATCTATAAATAGTTTCAAAAAAGGTAAAATCATTTAAAAATAAAGTCTATAGTTTACGATGATTACATTTTAATAAGCATTCAGTATAAAGTTCAAATCTCTACTTGAGTAGCGATTAAAAAAAAAAAATAAAAAAAAATATTGAACATTAGTGTGCCATAAATGTTATCGTATTTTATGATTTTTCATTTGTTTATCTCCATTATTCGGAAATCTGTTTAGAAATTAAATAAAAACCATTTCTCGAATAAACAACTAAACAACATTTTTAGTTTAAAAAACTCTTAATATTATGTATATCAGTGAATTTATTTTGGTTTAAATCGTGTAAACGAACACGAAAAAAAATTAGAAACACTTTTTTTGTCAAGGAATTTTTTTTAAGCAGTATTTTCTCGTGAATATTCAATAAAAATTTAATATTAAGTTTTATTTGCCTGTATTTTATGAAGCATAATATTATGTAAGCACATATTGTGTAAGGTAGGTAGGCTAAGATTAACATTATCGTGGGCTCTAGCCTCAAGGAGTAGTACTTTTAGTGCTAATACGTACCTCAATTTCCAGTATTTAGATGATTAAGAAACCTGTTTAAGAAAAGAAATAATGAAGTGTTGAGCTTTTAAAAAAAAAAATTTACAATACAAGAATCTAAACTTTTATATTATAACTTTTTTTTTTATACGCTAACAATTTTAACAAATTTAATCTTAAGAACCACTAATTTTATTATAAAATTAAATTTTCAAATACCGTAAAAAACCAAATTTTTTTACACCATTTTGCATAATTCATATAATAATAATACATATAATAATTTCATACTTACAAAACTTTTTTTATTAGCAAATTATATGATATAGTTGATAGAAACTTCTTGGAGCAATTCATATTCATTGCGACAATAAAGATAATTTATTTTGCCAATAGTTGATATCCGAATTTTTATAATGATATATTTGTAATTTTTATACAACTGTACACATTTTCTTCGTTAAATTTGAGTTGTGGTATTAATTATTTAGTCAAAACCATTCATATTTGATATTTCACATACACTTTCACTTGCTGTTTCGTATTCGTATTATTTTATTTAAGTGTATTGCTGAATTTCATTAGGCCATGCACTCGTAATAATGGCTGTAACACGATCGCGCCCGTTCTACCTTTTTACATGAAAAAAACACAACACGATTGCGCCCAGCTAATTAGATCGATAGCATTCGGTTTTACCTTTTTACCTAACCAATTTTACAGGCTTAGGACTGACAATTTTCTGTGCTACGTAGTTCTTGTCAAATTATATTATTCGGTCTCGTAAATAAGTCGTTTTCACATTTTCTTTTTATTCTGAAATTGTTTATTTGTCTACTAAAAATATTTTCTGAAATTATGTTGTGATTGTGTTCATTGATCATGCTAAGAACTTTTGTCACATCTTTATCAAATAAATACTAACTTAAAAAAGGTTGATCTAACCTAACTTAAACTTTGAGTTTTATACTCCGGCTGTATTTTTAAATAGTATATTTGATAATTTTTAGAAAGGCAAGACCTTATATTTCACAGAGCGCTATCGAGCTAATTTGCTGGGCGCAATCGTGTTATGTTTTCTTTATGTAAAATGATAGGATTGGTGCAATCGTGTTCCACTGCGTAAAAATTATAAATCTATATTTATTTAAATATTTTGTGTGATTATCTTTTTTTTATATATACACCAGGTGATCTTGAAAGTGACCATATACGGGTAATATAACGATAAAACGTATTTCTATTATTTTTATTATTGAGTTAATTATAACTATCGGTGCGACCAATCGCGTTTTAATAAATATTAACTATTTTATGGTTAAATAATTTGTGTGGTTATATCCGTCTAAGCCACTACATAGTATAGCATTTTATAATGTCTATATAAGTATATATATATGTAAATGAATAATAGGATCAACGAGACAAACCATAAAAACTGGGTTCTATAATGCCCCGACGGGGTCTTATCGTTTAAATTCGATGGACTTAAAATAGTGAAGGGATTGTCTGTGGAGAAGAGAAAAATAGTTGAATCCAGCGTTTATAATATAATAAGTATACTACTGCAATTATGTCTACGATATTAAAGTCGAAATATACTCTAAATAGGGCACTACGGGTGGTGCGGAATTAATTAAATACATGTGTACACCGGTTGATTTATTTAATCAGCAATACTTATTTTCTCCGTTCATTTGTGTTTTAATAAAATATTACTGTGTAGAACAACAAAACATTACAAAAAATAAATTAATATATAATCCATTACCAGTTCTTGTTTTTTTTTAAAAAATACTCGTAATAACAGTTACAAGTCTCAAATTAGCGTTCTTAAGCCCTTTCATTGGTAAAAACTATAACTATTGTTGGCACGACTTTTAATTGTAATACATTGAAGTTTTCGCAGAACCAATCAACTCTATGATATTTTGTATATAACGTACATGTTGCTCCGCTGAGGAGAAAAACCAAGTATAATTGTGGAGAAAAAATAAATGAAAAGGAATAATAAAAAAAATGTAAAATTATTTTCACAAAAGCGTTGCATAAAACGGCAAGGCTTATTGCGAATTCTGTACGAAAATTACAGCTCACACGAGCTGTCGGGAAAAATAAACGTAAAGCCTAACACATCGAAACGAATCATGTCGTTCGTAAGCCCGCGATCGAAGGAGAAAAAAGTCGTACGTTCGTATCGGAACCGCGGAACGCGCACTGAGTACAGAAATATCTTTGTTGGACATGTAACCGCAATTTCGAACCGAACAGTTTCGTAGACTTCGCAATCGTCATTCCCGGTATACCCTCGAGGGTTACTAGTCACGCGTGGACGTGTTTCGAGGGGACGCTAAGGGATGATGACCAGAGCTAAACTATTTCGGTGTGATCCTCATCCCTCCCATAGTATTTTTAAATTACGAACGTGCGGATTAGTACGATTTTTTTTGTTTTTTAATGTTTTTTTACAAATTCCGCCTGCTCCTCTTCCGACACGACGTGCTCTACGCAGCTGTCGTTCTTATTTAACACGCCCCTGTGCCTCCGTGACCGACGGACGGTGAACGCTTATTGCAACGATGACGTGGGAAACGCGCTGAAGTGTCATCGAGTGCACCGGGTGCGTACGACGCGGCTGTGTAACGATCCGTCAACCGCCGGAGCCGATTGTCACGACGACGGTCGACGGTTTAATAATAACATGTTACATGCGCACTGCGGTATAGCAACAGAATTACGCAGTGGCGGGATTTATCACTCACCAAGGGAGGGGCTAATGGAGGTTCAAGAATTAAGTTAGTTATTTTTTATCTATACATATACAATTTTAAATAACGGAATATTTTTTTGAGTCCCTCATAAGTAAGTCATTTTTTTCACAATAGTAACAAATTTTAAATAGTTACATTTAATATGAAATCATTTTAAAAATATAGGTATACACATATAATTAACAGCAAAAATTAGCTGTTTATTTATAGAAAAATACATAAAATAGGTACCATATTCATCAATGACGATTGATAATATTTTATAATAATATAAATAAATCAATATATTATAATACTTGGTTTTGTAAAACAGTTAGCTCAGTCCAAAACGGGGAGGGGGGGGCTAATGCCCTCTTAGCCACACCCTTAAACCCGCCCCTGGAATAACGATCGATCGCGATCCACGTCGGCCAATAATGGTTACTACCCGTATCGACCGTCGTGCGGATTCATCACCTACTCGTTTGCCGGCAGTAAGTCCACGGACGGGATTACCCGGAGTGGGCGTTCCTAATGATTCGTGTCGCGAATAGAATCCGAACGATCGTCTCCGAAGAACCGCAAACGTTTAGCTGCGCACGCACGTGATGATGCACGCAGGACACGTGTCCCTTAGGAAGCGAGTGGACGGGATAAAATATGGACGAAAAACAAGTGGACGGCGAAAGGGCTGGCCGATCCAAACGGGATGGAGGATCATGCTGCGCGATGGACATGGTCAGACTCATCCAGTGAAGTCGTTTCATCCGCGCAAAGTGTCCCGGTTGATCGTAAGAACGAGCTCATAAATTATGGTCTTCAACTATGTACATAAAAATATTATACGCACTGCACACTACACCGTCTTCTGGGTCTATCCGTATATGTCAGGGTTAGGCAACTAGTGGCGCACGAGTCTTTTTTATCAGATCCGTGCTATATTTTTAAATTACATCATACAATTTTAAAGTTTATTATCAATATAATAATTGTTATCTGGTATTGAACATCGTTAAATGCACATATATATATATTAACATCTATCTGTGATTAAATGTCTAAATGTCATAGCTTTCAATCATAGCTCTTTGTACCGAACTATTTAAGGTGCGTTACCCCAGCACCCGTACTTTCGAAATCATGAATTGTAATCAAGCAGTATTATGTACTTTATTTTGTACAATTTTGTACAACCAAAATTAAATTTTGTACAACCCCCAAACCCCTCCGAAATTCAATTTCATCTTACGGGTGTTATCGCGTATCTTGTATCAATATTGTATCTAAGATACTTATATCGAAGATACAGCACTTTCTTTTAGGTAGGAGTAATTACTGTTCATTAATTTATACAATTCAAAAAGAATTAACAGAATATATTAGGCAAGTTCTCAGACATCAAGTTTTAAAATTATATTAATTATATTAAGTAGGTGCATTATTTTAACAATAGTTAAATTAATCATTGATATAGGAGTTTTAATTTAATATTGTTATCTTAATGTTAAGAATAAAAATATAATATTTCATTTCTAAAAATAGTCTAATACAATCTGATTTTAGGTTGTACAATAATAAATACTATTTATAATCAATGAACAATGATACTTAAGTAGTTGGTACGTCGTACGTGGGCATTATGCTACATTGCTACTTTCAACATTGTCGATTAATTTGTCTATTCATGATATCGCGCTTCTAAGCTTTACTACAACAAAATGTATCGAATATTTTGACTCATAGATTCAATTTAGTAATTTACTTTAATTTTGTCTATAATAATATGTATTTGGTTTTAATATGAACTTGAATGTACCTATCGCCTAATGTCTTAATGTACTTCTGTTTTTCAAAATTATGATCATTTAAATAAGTTACATTTATGTCGTGTATTAGGTATATTTTCCTTGAATTTATTTTGTTTTATATTAAAATATAATTAAAACTTTTGTGTATGACTATAATAAGTGATAGCAAACGATAATAGAGAAAGAAAACCAATTAATTTAAATAAAAATATTGATGATGAAATTTTAAATTTAAAAGATCAAATTACTTTGGATGGCTATAGTATTATTGTTTTAGTAAAGGTATCTAAATAATATAAATAATGCAATGTATGATTCAACATACCTACAGCTTTAATACATTCAAGTACCTATTCAATAATTTTAAATGTGTACGATCTACATTTTAAACTTATCAATTACCAATAATAGGTACCTACTACCTACTACAATTAAATTAATTAAATTGATTTTATGTACACAAACAAAAGATTTCTTCTTTTAGAAAATAGTCTAAAAATAGTCAATATATGACTTATAAAAAATAAAAAATATAAAATTAAATAGAGTTGTATCTATGATAATTTTGCCTTTTATTATAAATATAATATGTTTATTTTAGATTTAAAATTTATTTTATACTAATTCGATCAACAATATTATTGTTAACACATTGATGGACAATCTGAATTTTATTTTTTTTTCTTAAGAAACTTAAGAAACGCAATTAAATATTAATGCCATAGCAGTAGTGATTTGACCACTGCTATAGCAGTACTGTCCACCTACATGGTAATATCATAATAATCACACACTTTGTCGATATTTATTCGAGACATAATATTTATTATATTTGATATATATTAACGTAGATATTTAAGGCACTAACAACTCGATAGTCGTAACTAGAGCTCCTTATTTCACGTGCATACGTTTTCACGTGTTCACGTGAAATAAGGTTCAATTTTTATAACCCGTTGCTTAAAATTTCACGTGTATTTATAATTTTATTCACGTGAATTCGTGAATTATTTTATTCACGTGAATTTGTGAATTATTATATTCACGTGAAAAAAAATATTTTCAAAATCATGAATACTTTTTGAAATAATGAGTGTTTTATGATAAAAGAATCACCCTGTATACATAGCATAGTGTGTGTGTGTGTGTGTGTATGTGTGTGCGTGCGCGCGCTGTGATCGTTGAATGTGAAAATCGTTTATTAATAAATTGTTATACGGCAATAGTGCGATTTGGTGTGATTTTATCAGGCCTAAATAATATTATTATATTGTATATATACAATGTCTCGACAGAATTTGATTATTTTATATTTGTATACATCGAGATTAATATTTAGGACATCGAGTATTTAAGAAAATTAACAATTACCTATTTTATTTGAATAACTAATTAAAAATATAATTTATTAATTACCTCTTTCGTATAGATTCTTCTGGTGCTTTAATACCATGACAATTTTGTAAATGTCTTATTAAAGAACCTGTCGTGCCACCTACACATGAATATTCATTATTATTTTCACTGTCACATAAATCACAAAAGGCGCGATCACCTTCACGTTTGGCATAATCCCATACCCAACTTTTTCTTTTCACCATTTTGCTAGAAAACTTAAATTTTTTAATGAATACGATCACTTAATGATTGCACGCAAACTAAAAGCGTCGTACACTAAAGTATTTAATATCATATTATCATCAAAATATCGATATAGTCACTACCTATCCCAGTGGCGCAACCAGGGGGGTGGACTCCGGGTCTGGACCCCCCCCTTGGTATGTATAATAGTATATTAATATCATATTCTAGATATATATATTATAATTTTTTATTATTTGTATATTAGTTTATTTTGTCAGACCCCCCCCCCCCATGAAAAATTCCTGATTGCGCTACTGACCTATCCAACTACCAGATAAGACATACGCAACGGGCACTACGAATTCAATAAGTTCAATAAAGATAAATAAGTGCGAAGTTAATCAGTAAAATTATAAATACATTTTCAAATAAAATACAACTAAATAAACAGTACCTAAAATCGGTTTTTATAATGCAATATATGACCACCATGTAGGCATTATTAACAAAGTTAACAAAATCTTTTTCTTCTATAAATGACTATTTTCTTTTACAATCAAGTTTTCGATAAATGCCTGTTCACGTGAATATACTAATTCACGTTTTCTCGTGAATATGATTCCGATACGTGTTCACGTGATTAAGCTTTGGTTAATTCACGTGTATTAACCATACGTGATTTATTTTGTTTCATTCACGTGATCACGGTATACGTGGACACGTACATTCATATTCACGTACAAAAACGAGACCCTTAGTCGTAACACAACTGAATTACCAAAACTAAATATGACGAAAACAATCGATAACTTATAAATTATAAACAATGATTATATCATTAGCAAGATTGTTATTTGTTATACTGTATGGTATTAATTTTAAAATGAAAAGAAACAGTTTTCAGAAATAATTGTCAATAAAATTCCCGATAACATATTATAAACGGCAAATACTAAAAATAGAAATAAGTGGTTATAAAATACAATACCCAATGATCCGTTGAGTTGTAGTGGGGCACCGCAGCACCCGTAAGATGAGATTGAATTTCGGCGAGGTTTGGGGGTTGTACAAAATTTAATTTTGGTTGTACAAAACTGTAAAAAATAAAGTACATAATACTGCTTGATTACAATTCATGATTTCAAAAGTACGGGCGTGGGGGTAACGCACCTTAAATAGTTCGGTACAAAGAGCTATGGTTGAAAACTATGACATTTAGACATTTAACCACAGATAGATATTAATATATATATGTGCATCAAACGATGTTCAATAAACGCATCTAACTATTTAACTATATTAGTTTCTTTGTATTGTGCTGTTGTGTGAGTTGAATTTATTATTTCCATGTATATAAATACTAATTAAAATTCATATTTTGAATGGCCTCTTTTTTTCTTTTTTTCTTTTTTTATGCTCTGACCCGTTAGATTTTAATTTTTAAAAATTTGCCCTCTAGTAATTTTGAGTTGCCCATCCCTGGTATATGTAAATATATAGTGTGATTATTTTAAAGGTAACACTATATTATTCTGATCAGTGACATCGGATTGATATGCGGTTTTCAGGAGAAGATAGGGAATATTCCTAAATACACATTTTTTGATGGTTTTCAAATTTCTAACCCTTTTATTGTGAGCATGCACAATAAAACTTGTATTTTTTTTTTTTTAATAGCAGCACTTACTTTTAACAAAAGATTTGAATAGACCGACATTTTTAAGTCAATTTGGTAATTTTTACCATTAGCTCTATAACCAAAATTGACTAAATAATAAATAGTTAAAGTTTCGATTAAAGCATTATCGATTGCAAAAATTATTAAATCATCGAAATTTAATTTTGAAAAATGAATTAACTTCAATTACACGTAAATATTAGTTAGTTTATAAAGAAAAAATTAAACTAACTGATATGATTATGATTTCCATCATTTATTTTTATATTTCGTACATTGTCGTGTGCTAAGAATAATATTGTCTTAAAGTTCCTATTAATCTAACAATAACAGTAGAATAATAATATTTAGTACAAAAGTTAGTACCAGATGATTCTAATCGTAGGTTAATATTTATTACATGGTTTATGATGCAATTACATTCCGAACCCGATATTTTACGATTAATCTGTTGGATGGACGAATCAAAGTATACTAACAACGGTATAATTAATAAACAAAAAACAGCTATTAGACTAATTACAATCCATATTGGACCACTGATACATCAAACAATTTTGGGTAGTAACGTTTGGTGTGGGTTACTCGGTGGGAAACTTCTCGGACCATATATTAACGAAGGTACTCGTACGTTTACTAGGATTCCAAGTGATGTTTTACCTACATACATGGATGATACATCATTAATGATTAGGAATAATGTATTATTTCAACTAAATGGAATACCTGCACATATTGCAATTGATGTAAGGGAACATTTATAAAATAAATTTATCAATCAATGGATAGGTACGTATTGAGCAGTAGCTTGGCCACCAATATCCTTCAGTGCTCAAGTCATTAGTTTTTTTTCTGTAAAAATTCTCAAAAATAAAACTCTAAATGCTTATGGGAAACTTCAAAAAGGAACAGATATTAGAAGCCACTCAAGAGAAGTAATGCATTGATTTCAAACATGCATGGAGAATGATGGAATAAATTATGATTAATTTATTAGATAGTTATTATATAGTTGTTTAGTCAAATAAATAATAGAAATTATAAAATTATCTTAATAAGTTTAATTTTTTCTTGATAAATTAACTAAAATGTACGTCAAAAGCGTAATTTAAGTTAATTAATTCCTCAAAATTAAATTTAAAGGGTTTAATAATGTCTCCAAACCTACGAATACAAAAAAAAACTTAAAATTGCATAATAACTTATAAAATTCTAGGATGTTTGAAAAATTCGATAACTTAAATCGAAATTTTAACTCGTCGTCATTTAGTCAATTTTAGTTTTAGAGCTATAGTAAAAATGACCAACTCGACTTAAAAAATGTCGGTCTATCCAAATCTATTGTTAAAAGTAAGTGTTTTATTTAAAAAAAAAAGTTGTGTTGCGCATGTTCACAATAAAAGGCTTAACAATTAGAAAATCTTCGAAAAATGTGAATTTAGGCATTCCCTATCTACTCCCGAAACCGCATATCAATCCAATGTCACAAGACAGAATTATTTAGTGTTACCTTTAAAAGGAATAACACTGTACATGTATATATTTTATACTTGCTTGAATGATATAAATCGCGTGTGCAATACACGTCCAATCTCGATACGTTATAATACACGTATATGTATTATGTACGGTCGAGGGCGAATTGATGCGCTGCGGTCGAACGATAAATATTCAAAGCGCGAGTACTTTTCCGATAAGACAACTCATACGTGTACGCACGTGTACAATCCATACGAGTCCGTTATTTCGTCCCCATTCCCTTTTTCCTTATCCCGACCAACGCACTATTCCAGTTCTTTTTCGCGGAAAAAAAAATAAATATAAACACTATTACAAGACTCGGAACTGTATTGCAAATCATTAGGGATACTATAACGCGTCGACCAGACATCCTTATCCGAAAAGTTGTTACAAGCTGATTTTATATCCAGCAGTACTCCAGTACTCCTACGATACAACTCACTTGTTAACGGTGAAAAAAATTGAAAAACATTTGGAATAAAATAATCCGTAACATTAGGTGGAGTGTATTATCACAGAATAAATGAAATCAGAATGGTCACTTCTAAATGAAACAAAATTCAGCAACCATATTAAATTAAATTTCAATAACTTTATGTAAATGTTACAATACAACAGCAGTTATAATTAAGTAAATTATCAGTCTATGTGTTAGGTGGTCACACTGTTAGGACTCCAAAACAATGGCCGAATGATTTTTGAACTCCCTTATGTTCCCTGGGTAAAATCTTATCAGTGACCATTCTGATTTTATTTATTCTGTGGTATTATTATTGGTTTTATTCCGTCGGCTAATTCGATCCTTTTCCCACGAATCAACGCACTAATCTCTGTGGAGAATATCGTCCGTAATAAACCCATATTCGGATAATTATATGCAAACGTTTAGCTAGTAATTTTTCTCAATCGCAAAAAGGAATGTATTTATTCGGATACTGTTCATCGCAACTCTTTATTGTATCTCAATTACATAATCTATTCTAAATTTATTACAAATATCATATATTTATAATACCAATCACAGCAGTTTCAATGTTCTAACTAACATTTTATAAAATTGTTTATAGTATACGAGTATAGGAGACTGTGTTGGAAAACCAATACAGTTTCCTAAATTAATGAATTTCAAAAATTCACAAAAACTATACTCACCTTTCCATACACCAATGAAATAATGCAAGTAATTATTGAAAAAGACGAGGAGAATTATTTTTAAAATATTGATGTACGATATAAAACCGTTTATAACTATATATATATATATATATATATATATATATATATCAAGTAATAACTAAACAATGTTCGTTGCAATTCAATATTTGTAAGCTGAAAACATACTTTCATATGAATACAATCTTATACAGAATAGTAATTGCAAAACATATTGAAATATATACATATATATATATATTATTTTTTACGTATATAAATTGTTGAATAAATTTAAAACTAGTTTATACTTTTAAAATTATAGTTTTTATAATTAGTTGATAAATATTAGTATAATATTAAACAATATATAAACAGATGACACTGCTATTTGGTCAAATGAGATATGAGTATAAAGAAGAGTGAATGATTTTTCTGTACTAGTATTTTAAACTCGAAATCAATATATCATTACTCTCCAAAAAAATTGATTCTGAATGAAATATGATTCTGGCAGATCAGTTAATATTTCTTAAAGATTGTTGATATAACAGTAAAACCAAATCTCTTAATATGTTAGGTTCTTATTTAGTAAAAAAAAAAAAGAGGCATAAAATAATAAACAGTTATTAGATTCACCAGTTTTATTTAAATATAACCGATTAA